TCCGCTCTCATTGGTCAACTGGGTCCGCCGCGGCTCTGGCAGATTTCGACTGTCCGCCGGAGGGGTCCGATCAACTGTCTGAGAAATCGAGAAATTGGCTAGGATGTAGAGCGTCAGTTCACCTAGCTTTCTGAATCGGCCCAGATTTGACCAACGGGTTCAATTGAACAGATGTTTTTTGTATAGAAACAGATATTTTTTTTCAGTTTTTCGTCGTGATTAGCTAAGACATGTTTATTCCCAAACTTTTTCGAAAGGCAGCTAATCCATTGTCACTTCTCTTTAAAGTCTATGCTTTCTAAATTTTTCGACTCTGAATTAGTGTCACTGTACCATGTAGATTTCCGTTGTGAGACATAAAAAGCGCCGGAAAAAAAGAATACATCTCTTCCTAAAACTTTCGACGGTGTTACATGATATCAATATATAGCAAAGCTTCACAAGTCACCATTTCGATGATGCAGTTAAACCAGTGATTGACCTAGTTTGAAGTTCAAAGGATCCCAAGCATTTGTCCAACTTTTTTACTACAAGCTCTCTTGAAGCTTGAATCATGAAGAAGCTAATCCGTACAAATATCTCATTAATAACTTGCTTGAGAATGCAATCAATTTCAGCATCCCTTACCACTCAATAAATTTGTATGTTATGTGCCGGAACTCACATCCAGAAGCTGCAAAACTTGCGAAACTGCCCACGTTGTAAAGTTTAGAAAACAAACCTGCAATATTGTTCATCTCTATTGACATAATTATCAATCTTGGACAGAAATTAAGTTCTGTCTCACATTACGTAACGGTTCCTTACCTACAGTGATCTGCGCTCTACGCCTGTAGGTGCGTAGAACCTCAAATCACTAATGAATTCGTTGCTGTGCATTGTTAAAACTATGTTCAGCTTTTACGGAGAAGTGCACATCCTGGAATTCAAATGTTATGCGTAACTGACTTTGATGAGAGTGTGGCCAAAAAACTTTGATCGCAATACTTCTAGGTTGCACACTGCAAAGGTATCGCAAGGTGTAAGATTGTTTGATAACTACAGATAAGATAGCAACAGGTGGCTCGATAAAGAATAGAAAAGCTTGTCAATGTTGATACAAGGTAAGCTATGGAGCTCATCGAACTGAAAGCTTGTTGCATGCTTACAAGAGAAACGCATCTATCTTTGTTCGACCTTTTTCAGAAGTTATACAGGGTCCCCAAAACGATGTGCACGCTGTTTGATCGTAGACATCTCTTGCTTTGATATTTTTCGTCAAACTTCAAATCTCATTCCACAGAGCTTGACTCATCTTAGATTTACAGTATGAAGCAAATTGCCGATCTCTCTTCATCACTGTAGGATGCTAAGAACATGGTAGACACTTCAGCAAGGATTTGAGGCCCTTTAGAGTCTTATTTTTTCGAACAGAAAACCAAACAAGCCAAAAACTCTCAAATTAGGCTAATCGATTGTGCCTTTTGATATGAAACCATTTTATTGCGATGTTTTTCTCCGACTTATTCCAGGAAAATCGTAACATTTTTTTCTCAAATTTGACTAGATGTGTGACTACACCCTCAAAAAAGTAGAAAACACTCGCAAAAATCTGTGCACCAAAATCAGCATGCGTGAAAACCCTGGTACATATTTTCAGCAAATTTTCCTCAAAAGTTTGCTAGACGGCCCATTTCACGATGGCTCCATATGCTTCTTACCGTAATCCTTCAGTAACAAAGCAATGGGTGACTCGCTTTACACTGTAAATCTAAGTCAAATTCGCTCAACGGAATAGTATACAGACTAGAGAAAGATATCAAGACAGGAAAGCTATCAAATACCAAACAATGCGCACATTATCTTGAACACCATCCTGGAGTGAGTCTTGGCTTTTTTCCGTGCAGAATTCGCCTATAACTCCGTGGGAAGACTGCATATAAGTAGAAATCTCCAAAAAAGCTGCGCAATCTAAATAACTATCGCATATTTTGACATATGACGCTAAATGAGCTCAACACAAGTGTACCAGCACTCATATGGTGCCGCCGTAACGCTAATAAGTCGATGAGCATGCAAATTACGCATAGAAAGAAGTCAACGACTTGTTTTAGAATGATGTATTGCAGCTAAAATAACACATTTACAATCAGCGTTCAAAGCTGTCTTTTCCTAACAGGTCGGCTGAGTTGAAGTCCTTCCCCTTGCAGAATCTTATACTCAGAAATAAGACATTGTGGTTTAGAAGTGAGGCATATTAGTCTTATCATGATTATAAATACATATCGGTTGAAAAAAAGTTACTGCCCGCTGTATTCACAGTTGTAATAATACTGAGTAAAAAATCTCCACATTATTGGACAGAGGAGAGCCCTTACAGCCTAAACTAAGCACGAGCTGGATGACATACGGTCTGTCTTAATTGGATTAGGCAGAAGCGTTGGCGTAAGCTGCTCGCTCGCAGCGCTACGAAATTGCGCTGCGCATGCGCAACATTGGAGGGAGCGACGAGACTGGTAGACACGATTTGAAACGACGGTGTGTATGCGCATCGCTCAATTTTAGCCTCAGACTGAGACGGACTGTAAAAATCTGTACAAGTTCTGTAATCTGTACAGATCCTTATCTTCTGTGAGCACTACGACAATAACAGTGCCGATATATAAAGACACACATACTTATAGGCTGCTGCATGACGAAGGCGCGATATCATTGGCCGCTAACACGGTTTTATTAGCCGCAGGGCGCATGAGGCGCACGGTTTACAACGGTGAGGATACACGCGCCGCGTTCGCGCCCGCGTAACTGATACTGCTTCTGCGCCTTGGTCATGCAGCAGGCTATACATACATACATGCATAGGCTGTATGCACGAACTTAAATGTCAAATGTAATTGAGAAATTTTGATCTCTAGCTCTAGTAAGCTCAAACTCTTTGATATCAGCTCAGAAATAAACTATAATACATACTTTTTTCTTTTTCATCAAATCATGAGAAATTTCAATATCAATATGGAAATGTGTAAAACCTTCTTCAAGTTAATACGTATACGGTATGTTACTCATTCATGAAATGTCATACTTCACGTTACTTGAAATTCTGTATTAATGGCTCTGTATGTAGGAAAAAAAACCAACTTCCTCGCATATGATTCGTTTGTCCATGCTTTATGAGAGTCCGCTATTTCCTCCTCTATGCAATATTTCTCTGACCCTCTTCCATTCGATAAACCAGTACCCTGACTCCACAACGTTTTTAATCAGCATGTCATTTACCTCTTATGTTAACTCCAGCCCCATGGCTAAATGTGCTAAAGGATTGTCAAAACCAACATCGATCGATAGCTGAAAAGAGCCCATAACCTCGTCCTGCCCCTTACAAGAGAAGCTTGTTCAGTCGAAGTGGCCTTTTTGGATGGAATGTACACCATATTGAAAGGCATAAAACGCTAATTTCAAACAGACCTTTCTTATCTGCAAAAAGTTTATGGACCAGGAGTTATGAGCGTTGAAAAATTGAATATGCATTTTGGATGAGTTGCTAAGATCTTGTTCGCCCCATATAATGCAACCAAATGTATTTTCTATTTTAGATAATTTTTGAATAAAGTGATTTGACAATTATCACTGCCTCATGGAAAAGCTAAAAATTTTTACACTATTTTCTTACTTGCACCTTAAGTTTTTTGCTGCAATAAGCGCTCATAACTTTTCGTTCATAAATGTTCTGCGGATATGAAAGGCAGATTTGGAATTGGCATTTTATGGAATTACTATGGTATCCCATCAATTCCACTTCGAATAAACATGCTTCCCTTGGTAGAGATGAAATTTTTATTTGGAACATACGAACATACAGAAAGATGGATATGAGCTTTTTATACAAAGTTGCAGTCGAGCGAAAAGCAGCGGTGCAATCTCTTTGGTCAGCAATCAGTAATTAGAAAAATTAAAATTCAGTGGATAATATCACCACGGGTTTGCATAAAGCCTGCTTCATCACTGCGTTCTCAGAAGAACCATAACTCTAATCAACAAGATATTCTGGTTTCAATTTAGTGAGCTACAGCTGCTTTTTTCGATTGTTTTCAAGTTTCAAAAAGTTGTGTTCATAATGGGAATGAATACACAAGGGAGTAAAATTATCAATGCAAAAGTTTATAGTGGGGAGCTGAATCTAACACACTTGACCCCCACTGTGCATAGAGTAGAACATGAGATTATTAAAGTTTTCTTCATATCAGCGTACTCTCCGATTATTGGAGCTGCACATTTTCCTCTCCTATTCTTACTGACGCAAATATAGGCTGCTGCATGACGAAGGCGCAACTTTGAACGCGAACGCTGCTTTTTTAGCCGCAGAGCGTATGAGGCGCACGATTTACAAAAATGGAGATACACGCGCGCCGCGTTCGCGCCCGCTCAGCCAAAAGGGCTTTCGCGCCTTCGTCATGCAATAGCTTCTACTTCTTTACGTCTTAATTTACTAAACCACCACAAATTCAATTTTCTGTCGATGCTAGTTGACAGATGAGTGTTTATAGTATGTTCGATATACGGCTACGCAATACTTGTCATTGTATAACTCGTCTGGATAATTCACGGTCTAGTCAGCAAGGCATCCTTTATTAACTGGAAAATTAAGCGCTGTTTCTTGAAATTACAATATACTGAAAAAACTCAACTGGGTTGACGTGAAATGAGGACTCTAATCGGTTCTCGGTATGAAATCAGATTTTATCTCGCAGGTTCACGATATGGCAGGATAAGAGGCTTATAAAGCGACATGCAGTATGAAATAAACCAAGCTTATTAAATAAATGTTTACGTCGTGGCAACAGAAGATGAGAGGTAAGGATTTGCTCATCTTTTTTTTTGACGAATAAAAACTAAATATGGAATTCGAGAAAAGTACCGCCAGAATTCATTACAACGTTAACAAGCCCTTTGACTATTCATAAAGTCAATCGTCTTGATATGCAAGTACTTACAGATAGAATATCTTAATATACGGGATTAATCTACTTCCCGATACCTGCAGCTGACGCTACGCTTCCAACGATATTACTGACAGCTCCTCCCAAGTCTCCGCCGGCTGGAGCTGCTCCTGCCGCTGGTGCTTCCATAGCTCCTGGGGCCATTGCTCCTGCGCCCATGCCTCCTGAAGCCATTGCTCCTGCTGAAGCGTCATATGATGACATTGCCGGTGGTGGTACTGCATAGCCTCCTCCAGCTGCTGGGGCCGGTGCTCCATATGAAGGGGCTGCTGCATATGAAGGAGCCGCTGCTGGAGCAGCCACTGGTGCTGCTACTGGTGCTGCTCCGCCACAAGGTGGACAAGGGGGACAGGCTGGCATTGGAGGAGGAGGAGGCGGTGGTGGTGGTGGAGCTGGGGCTCCACCACTTGGACAACTACAAAGAAAGTCTTAAGAAATTTAGCTAAGCCTCTGTAAAAAAAATATTCACTTACCAACAACAGCAACAACATCCTCCACCTCCGATACCTCCTCCTCCCAAACCTGGCAGGCCACCACCTCCACCAAAAAGACCGCCCAAGCCTAACAAATTCCATAGGAAAGCATCAGTGAGTGTGAAAGATGACGAGAGTAGCAACAGTAGAGTTAGCATGATGGTTTAAGAATATGATTGGCAGTGATTTTGCAGAGACCTCCGTATGTTGTGAATATTGCTGAAACCGTGGAATTGTGACAGAATAGAATTTACGATTTGCAAAGGTATATATGTGCTATGATGTATCACACAATGCAGATACTTAAGTAAGTACAACGGTCTCGGCCAAAGCTGGTTTTCAGCTCGTTGAAAGAGTTTGACGATTTGTCGATGGCAATGAACACTTATCACGTAAAAGAACTTTGTTGATTAGTGTCTCAGTCCGAATGCCTGGTTGTGGTGTACAAATCAGTGTATCTGTGCTTGCTCTGTGTTGATTATGGCAAAGACATATCAACTCAACATCTATCCCGTACTTCATTGTTTGTCATTTGCAAAGGCACGTCTTGCAGTTGTGATTGAGATGTATCGTAGCTGGGAAAATTGAGACGGCCTTAGATAAGCGCATCTGTGATATGCCACTGTTGCGCACAATATTCACAAAATAAGCGGGCAGATTTCCAACTTTTTTGCTTTTGTAAAAATTTGCAGCACATAGTAATGCCTCTGAACAAACAGACAACTTTTTATACGCGTATAGCTGTTTTCGTGCTTTGTACCCTACTGCAGGATGGAAACGGAAAAGAGTTAAATGTTGTTGTCAAAGGGTGCTCACTGCACATTCACCATTTCATATCGAAAAGCTCTATAAAGCTGGCCCCTGCTTCCTCAGCAAGTTTGACTATCGTAGTTAAACGGATATGCAATCAAATGGGAAGAGAGAACGTTTTAAAGAGCGGCTCATCTTTCCGAAAAGACCGTTAATACGATAGACACAACGATACATGGTGCACAATACTTTTTCGGTATGACGCTCTAAATTAAACATTTAGAAGAAAACAGAAAGTGCCAATTGAGAACTATTTGGAGATTACCTGGCGACTAGAAAATTGTTGGAAAAAATAGGCTTCGCATGAAAAACCAAGCATTCTTTAGTGCAAAAGTGTGAAAATATGTGGCTGTGGCCCACTGTATTACAGGCTATAGGTGAAACTCAACCTTGCTTGTGAAATCTGCTGTTAGACGTGTAATGTTATTTAACATTAGAGCAAGAAAAGATATTGCGAAAATTTACCATGGAAGCTTTCTACTGGATTGTTCTTGAAAACTAAGCACTTAGTAATTTGTCAATTCCTCAGTTACTTCACCCTTATGCTCAATTTCTGAGGCGAAATCGTATCAAGTTTTGTCTCGATACAATGGTCAGGGTGATCATAAAAAATGTTCAAGTAGATTAATTACTGCACAGTTTTTCTTCAATCGCGAGTAGTGATTTGCCGTCGCATCAGCATTTGAAGTGAATTGTAGGTGATTGAGCGCTTACTTTTTGCACATGTGCTTAAAAGTGCAATGTATCTCAACAAAGACACTTTTAGGAGGTCACGATATCTCAGGTTTTTTGATGCAAAAATGAGCGCACAACAAAATAAGCGCGTAATCATCACACCATTTATAGAACCTGGGATCGGATGTATCAATTTAACCATGTATTAGCATGTACTAGATTTTCGTAAGGAATACGGGAACTCTTTAACACTATAACTCACAATAGATGTTGTTGCTATCGCGGACTTTTTGCTCAGCAAGGTCAAATTGGCAATTTCAGATACAAAGTATTAGTGAGAAATTTTACCAGTAGTCATTTTTCTTATATCAGTGAATTAACGCATCCTATCCCGTTTGTCTCACTTCTAAAAGTACCGCACAAATCGGGTTCTACACTAATTTCGCGTTCACAAATTTTTACGCAACACTTTAGGACAATGAACTTTTCGTTCAATTTTATTCCCCGAAAAATGTTACAATATCACGTTTTGAGTGGTCATAGGAAACTGGGCTGAAATTTGGAAAAAATTTGCATTGTGTAATACTTTTTTGGCAGACGCTCTTCGCCGTCTTTGTTTTGTGGTATTACCCGATGCTTTCTTGTTGTATACTTATACGATGACGATATCACACAGAAAACGATTAACCCATTCTTTTTTTTTTTGAAATAGGCAGATTGAGGGGCAGGCGTTACGGAGCAATACTACATTCACTTAAGTTACACTTACGGAATGTAGGCCATCTGTTTTGCTTAGCTTTCAACTGCAGCATCAGAAAGGCTACCGTTGTTACTGCCAGTAAGTAAACCATTCTTTCGCTAGGTTTTGAGAAAAGAGAATATAGAATCGAAGAGATCAATAAATAGAAGAAATACTGTATAAGTAGAAAAATGTTCAAGAGAAGTAACAAGATAATTAGATGACAGGATAAACAAGAATTGTCCAGGAACGATTATCAAAGAGTACTCAAGTTACTATACTTCCTTACCCTCTATATTCTGTCTGTTCTGTCCTTAACACACATCTTGCTTAAAAGTTTTACTTCACTTTATTTTATTTATACAGTGCTAAGAGAAAAAAAATATTCTATCTCTGACTTATCCCCAAAATCTGTCTATCTCCCTTTTATTTACCTCTTATCCACTGATACGATACTGTATATTTCCTCTATCTTTGATTTTGAGCTTTAAATGCAGTGAGATTGCGCAGCAACTGAGAGTGGCTCAATCCGCTAAGCAGCGGTAACTATTGTGCAGCAGTTGCGGTTAAGAGCAACGTGAATGGCTTTTGAAATACACTCAATGAATTGTACATTTCAAAAATGTACCGTCTCAAAACTTCTCTAACAATTTCATGAGCCCTGCCTTCACAAAAAACATATCAAAACTCGTTGACGATTTTATAAAGCAAGTTATGCTGTGACAACTGCTTTAACTAGTTCTGTTTGAAACTTCCCGTCACTAAAAATATATTCGTTTATACTAGAAAGTGTAATATGCGTATCTCTTCTTGGATATCACTTACATTTCATTTCGAGCTAATCTTCAATGTAAGCATCTTATGAAATTCTGAATCATTTTTTTGCATGGTGAAATGAGTTTGAATAATAGTGAGCAAATCCTTAATCGCATCTTCGAACGTGATTGCCAATCCTGCATTGCTGGTCTCCGTGGCAATTGGAACTCTCACGTGTAACAAATACTTTGCAAATTTTGTCGGAAACTTACAAACTCGCATGTAAACCAGCCGATTTTAAGCTTACAGCCTGTCCCAATCGGGATCAGCACCGTTAGCTAATCGCTTGCAGCGCTAGGGATTGCGCTGCATGCGCGCTTTGTCGGAGAAAGGGAAAAAGTGAGGGAAGAGCGAGCTGAAAATTTGCACAAGTCAAATAAATAAGTGGGCTTATCATCAGGGCCGGCAGTAATCCACTTCATCTAACGGCAGGTCATCTAGCGAACTAAACTCAGGTGATCGCCGAGGGCAGGCGGCCGTGCGACTTACGTGCAGGAAGGCACCGGAAAAATAGACCGTTGTTTTCTTGCGGTCCGCTTGCAGAAATTTGGAATAATTTTGGCCAATTTTTAGACGAACGCTCGGAGAACTATCGTGGTCTTTCTGTGAATAAGTTGCGGCCCAGCGGCCGCATTCTTGCGGACTTTTTGCGAGAATATGCAAAATTATTGAGGGCCGCATGATCCCTTGTGAAGGGTACAGCCCATAGCTACCTTCCGCTTAAACCGTTGATGGTACCTGCGTTACGTAGAGAGTTACCTTTGCTCGGCGTATTCCCGAAGCTGCGTAAAAAGAGTCCTAGCACCTGCTGAAAGTTTGGCCAGCGCTCGCTGAAAGAAATAATTTGACGAGCGCTTGCAGAAAATTCTGTATTGCTGCCCGCTGGCAAAGCACAGAAGTGCCGCTCGTTGAAGGTTTGGTTACTCTGCAAAATTTTGCTGACCGCTTGCAGAAAGGTTTGCGGACCGTCTGGCCCCGGCGATTATCTGAGTGTTTGAGTGAAAATCTTCTGTTCTAGGTATAAAATCCTGAAAGCGACAATAACCCAGTTATACCTTACCCACTTTACCCACTTGCATATAGTTATCAGCTACAAATCTAGATCAAATATAGCAATAAATTTCTTTGCAAAAAACGGCAACAAAGAAAAAAACCAGCATTGTTTGAGCCGCTAGCTTATTCGAACTATTCGAATAATCGAATATTCGAACAAGTATGGTTATTCGAATATTCGAATAGTCGAGTATTCGACCATATGTGGTTATTTGGTTATTCGAAAAGTCGAATATTCGGCCAACCCCATTTATTCGAATATTCGTTCATTCGAGTTCTGAAATGTAGCACTATTTGAATATTCGAATTCCAATAACCTGAAAATCACAGATCGAATAATAATTGTTCGTTCGAATATTTTTCAGAAGGCAAACTTCCGATATTCATTCGTTCGAGGAAATTTTTCGGTCGTTTCAACTATATCCTCCACTACAGCTGCAATGTTCTTTACTCAAAATACACCAATTCGCGAAAAATCTCTAGGGTAAAAAACAGGGGCAGTTGTGCAGCATGAGTTTTACAAGCAAGAGTGTTCACTAATGTGGACCTTTGCATACCAAGAGCAATAGCAATGCAAAGGAAGAGAAACAGGCATGTCAACACATACTCAGTGTATGAACTCGGAACATGAGCTTGAATTTAATAGCTGTTTTTTTTTTGCTGATTTGGTGCCATAGCAATGCGAACTATCTCGTTGATTGAAAAAACATCGATTAAAATCACCTATTTTTTCACTGTCGCAAGCAGTTAAAGGAATGCCCTTTCCATACAGTGTAAAGGTCGTCATCACGATTGCAAAAAGATGCATTACCGAGTTTTGCGGAAAAAACGCAGACGAAGCGAGCTTAACACGTTTCGGACCGGTGCTGCCCATGGTGTAGCACGCAGCTTTATAGGATCTTTTCAACGTTTACAGGAGGTTTTCTTTTTATACAAGATTATCATGTCAAAGGCCTAGGCTCCTACTTTTCAAAATACTCTATAGAGCTGTGCCGCCGATATTTGTTTAGAAGATACGAGCACAAATCGAACAACAGTTGCAACGAAGTGCGGCAATGCGAACAACGCGTGCGACGTCGAACTTTTCTCTGCTTCAAATTCAATGAGAAAAGCCGTAATTTCAATAATCATG